AAAGTTGATTAACATTATGGCAAGCTTTAATTTGACTCAGTCAAATTAGTTTTAGTTAAATGGTCCAGACAGTGTTTTCGTATGGTCCAGACAGTGTAGAAATTTTCCATTATAACTAGGCTTAAATTTTTCAACATTTTTTCATTTACTCGTTAGTAAATATTTGACAAAATAAGTTTGGCCAAATTTAATTTCAATAATTAACACAGCCATCGTCATTCCTTGGTTTAATTCTATATAAATTGTATAGAATTAAACCAAGGAATGGCAATGGCTGTGTTAATTATTAAAATTAAATTTGGTATGGTATAGACTATGTAAAATAAATTAGAGTTAAACCTAATATTTTATAATATTATAATAAAATATTTGGTTTAACTTAATTTTACGTAGTTCTCTTTGAATAACTGATAAACAGCTATTTTATGTTTAGAAGCTCTTCTTTCAAAATATAGTCTAATACTATATAAGTAAATATATGTTGATGTGTTATCGGAAACAGAGGTGTTGTCTTTTGACTATAAAATTACATCTTTAGAGATTATTTTGTTTTCGTCACTGTTAAATTCCTTGTTTGTAATTATACAAACTGTTGCATTTAGTTGAATGCTAAAGGCTTTTTAAAAAGCCAGATCTAGCAGGAATATTTATATAGTTAATTATATATTCTTTTACTGATGTATACTTGTAAAATATACTTCAAACAAGCTTCTCTAACGAAATTCAACTACAACTGCGTTGAAATATTTGTTTATACTACAATGCAGTTATTCTCCTGCAGAGATAATAAAAGATTAATAAAAGGTTTTGGCGTAAATGTAATTAATTGTAATTAATCATCATCAATGTACGAGCAAATCACGTAATAATGAAAAATAGAAAAAAACTACGAATTCCGAGTTTTTGATTGTTCTGTACATACAAGTACCATAATGCATTGCTTTATGGAGAAAGGTTAATTAAGACAAAGAGTTTTTTTTTTTTTGTTGTTACACGTGGTTTAGTAATAGTCATTTATTATGCGCATGCGCTATATTTTATTCAAATGTTGGTAAACAATAATGTTCGCAAGTAAACAGAAAACTACTAATAGAGTTGTATAAACTTTAAATTAGATTTATTTGTAGATATTTCTAAATTGCCTATAAGAAATGATATTAAAACAATACTTTAGGTATGGTATGTGTCATCAAAGCTATCATTTAAATAATTTTACAAAGAGAAAAGAAGTGGGACTAAGTTTTCGTTTTTTTTGAAAGGTTAAAAATGCTGACAGAAATATTATGGAGGCTTTATTACTGCCATTTATTATCTTTAAATCATTTTGTAGTATTTTATCGGATTATTTTTAGTATCTACAATTTTTCTTTTTCTTGGTTGAGCTTTTTTTTGGTATTTTTTAACAGTTGGGTTGTTTTTTATGAAATGCTCATTCATTATGCTTCTTAATCTACCTACTCCTTTCATATGGCAGTAGGTACTCTTCATACGGTTGATTTCAGCATGAATACTTTCTCCACCTTGCTCTCCATAAGTACCTAGTTCTACTCCCCATTTTCTAATGAAAGGTAATGCATGGTACTCCAGCATATGAAGCTTTGGTGTGATTGAAGCGTTTGGCCAATTTTCACGAAAGTACTTCATGAAATCTTTGATTTGATTTTCTGTAACCTATATATATATATATATATATATATATATATATATATATATATATATATATATATATATATATATATATATATATATATATATATATATATATTTCTTAATATTAAGAAATATTGAAAAAGGTTCAAACACTGAACTAAAATTAAGATCATGGCCAGAAAATTGCAATCTAACTGAATGTGTTTGCTTTAAATCCAATAAAGGAAGAAAAAAAAAAAGAAAAAGATAAGAGGAAGACCTTCGAGTATTAGTTATAAAGATGCTATGGATGATATAGATGCTTTTCAGATGTTATAGATGCTTTTCAATATTATCATATTGAAAAGCATCTATAACACATTTTTTGAGGATGTATGTTTGAGTGGTCTTAATCGATTCGGATAAAAAAACAAAATTCTATTCTAGCAATGTGTTTTGTTAAAAGAACACTATCATTATCTACACTTTCTCCACATATTCTGCATAATGTTTTTAGTTTTGTTTCATGAGACTCAGTCATTATTGTATGTTTTTTTATTGCTAAAATATAAGATTTGATTTACAACATTTTTAAACTTAAAAAAGTAACCGGACTCTGATTTTTTTTTTATTATAAAGTTGAAACCTTCTTCTTTTAAAATATATACAGCTTTAAGAATAAAAATTCTAATAAATGCTTAATTATTATGTTTTAGTAATTAGGATGACCATAAAATAATTTCCGACTTTCCCGCGTTTTTTATAACATAAAAATTAACAAATTTAAGTATTTCAAATTAAATGTGTTTTCCTTGGCCATATATTTTATTAGTTTATGAATTTATATCTGGTATAAATATCTTCAAAGCAATGATATGACCTTTTTTATTAGGTTACGATAAAAACCATAACAAAAAAAAATCAAAATTATACGATGTTGATGTTGTTTTTAAAGTAACGCATGCGCATAATAAATGTCCGCAAATGCTTAAACTTAAACCACCGTGGTTAATGCAACTTTTCGGAATATAGTGTTTTGTTAATTATTTAACTGATTTTGGACGTATTTATGACGTATGTCTTGCAATTTCATCTAAGTTTAAAAAAATAATTTTGAATTAGGACACTCACTACGTGATTTGAGAACTGGGACAAAAATATTTCTAAAAAACACTCTTTTTCATTAACTTTGGGGAAATAATTTTTGAATAAAAAATTAGCTTATATAGCATCATAAATGTCTTTTAAACGTTCTTTACGTAAGAATCTTTAGAAGACGTTTAAAAGACATTTAAAATACATAACGTAACTTTTAGAAACAAATGCCCGCTGGGAATTTATAACTATATTTTAAATTTCATTAAGATATATATTGGTAATTAAAAGATACAGCTAAAAACACTTAATTTTCAAACGCCACACAGTTTGAGAAAAAGGATCAAAAAATAAAAAATGTTTTTAATTCATTTTTAACGGTTTTTATTTCATATCAGCATACTGGAAAGGTTAATTAAAAAAAAAATATGTTAAATAAAACTTCAACTAGAAATCTCTTTAAAAGAGCAGTGAAGTCCATGTTGATGTTTCAAAAAAACATTTAATAAAGGAATAACTTCTTTTACTTGGTTTTAATATTTACCAATATTAAAACCAAGTAAAAGAAGTTATTCCTTAAATAAACAAATGAAAAGTTAATATTTTATTAACTTTTCATTTGTTTATCTTCGTTTGAAAATGTAAAAGCAGTTCATTAATAAGATTACCTGTAAGAAGTAATGTTAGTAATGACTTAATGATCACGTGATAAATCTTTCTACGCAGGGGTATAATTAAAATGAAATAAATTTTTGGCATTCTATTTACTGTTTTCGCCTCCTAAAAATTGGGAAGAGGGGTTGGTCATTTACCAGTTGAGCAGGCTACTTTTAAAAAAAAATTGTCACAACCCGTAAAATTCGAAAAACAAGTGGCACTACCAGAGACGGGGTGAGGGTATCATTAGTTAACAAGTTAAAATATTTGCAATAAATAAAATATAACGCATTTTTTTAACTTTTTATTTAATAATTATTACAAAATGCGTGACCATTCATTTCATATTTTTTTCTATATGCTTCTATAAATATTAAAGATTGATTACACAAATTTTCCTAATTAGGACAATATTATAATATGCGCTGCAGCAAACCAAAACAAAGAAGTAAAAAAAAAAAAAAATTAACAACAAGCAGATATAAATATCACAAGTTAAATAAACAAAGCAATCGATGAAAAGATAAACCGTGATCAACTTTTCAAATCTTGTAAAATAATCTAATTTCGAATGTAGAGAAATGCTCTACATTTGGGTCCAGTAAAATAAACGTCAATAATAACTTAAACAGCACTTGACCGTTTAATAACGTTAATAACCCTAGCTAAAAAAATCCTATAGGATATTATTGAATTTAAAAACAAACAAATACTGTCAGGTTTGAAACCCAATAAATTAAAATAAATGATTTAAAAAGAGTTTTTGGTTACAAATATTTTTTTTTTAGTTTTCTAAAATACACCTTTACACCTTCAGGACATTTTGACTAGAGAATAGAAAAGTGTTATATATATATATATATATATATATATATATATATATATATATATATATATATATATATATATATATATATATATATATATATATATATATATATATATATTTATACATACATATATATATATATATATATATATATATATATATATATATTTATACATACATATATATATATATATATATATATATATATATATATATATATATATATTTATACATACATATATATATATATATATATATATATATATATATATATATATATATATATATATATATATATATATATATATATATATATTTATACATACATATATATATATATATATATATATATATATATATATATATATATATATATATATATATATATATATATATTTATACATATATATATATATATATATATATATATATATATATATATATATATATATATATATATATATATATATATATATATATATATACCGGCGTAAAAATACACTTTTTGAGCGTTTAAAAGACGTTTAAAAAACGTATAAAAGAGGTCTTTTTTGGACCAAATGCCAGCAAGGTATATATATATATATATATATATATATATATATATATATATATATATATATATATATATATATATATATATATATATATATATATATATATATATATATATATATATGTATATATATATATATATATATATATATATATATATATATATATATATATATATATATATACACAAAAAAAAAACATACACACATATAAAATAGATAATAAAAAGTCAAACTTAAATATTTTATACAAAAATCTATAAATATTTTATTCAAAACATTTTTTAGAAACAATTTTTTCTGAAAAACTCGTTGTTTTATGAGTTCTTTAATCGGTTATCCAAACTTTATCTAAGCCCTTCATCACCTGTTCATAAAGAGTAAATGTAAACGCAACATCAAAGCACACTCTGCCCAATCTGGGAATGGCGCCTTTGTAAAAACTAAATTGAAATCAAAATTACAGTACACAACAGTTTTAAAAAAATGAAATGCAAATAAATCTAATTATTTTCTTTTAACATTTTGTTTTAATTTAGAACTTTTTTACAAATCAAATGTTATTTCTTAACTTTATACATCAAAATATTTTATATGCGTATGACTGTTTAGAAAAACAAGTAATTTGAAAACTCATCTATCCTTTCGACTTAACGGATTGTTTCTTTAAATGATAGATCAATAAAATATAAACGTAAGGCAGAGAGATTTTTAATTAATGTTAAAAGATTATAGAATATTACTTACATAAAACATTTCTAAATCAATATTTGCATTTATTTTTATTTGTCTCACAACTCTTCGTTTATATACGCTTAAAAACCACTAACCAAACTTTAAAGCTAACGGAAAATAATTATTGTAGAAGAAAGCTTTTGATTAGGGTGCTTGACAACGAAGGCATACAGGAAGAATGTACAATATCAATTTATTTTACTATGGCAAAAACAAAACTTTTTGTAATTAGTAACATTTCCAAAAAAACGTCTTTATTTTAGTGGGGAAGGGCGGCTTTGAAAATAAATTAACTTTGGAAATGCATTTAAAAGTAATTTTTTTTTTCATTATTATGCAGGTGTTTTTACAATCAACAAAATCATAAAATTTTACCAGCTATTAGTACTATTGGCTCAAAAAACACAAATATCAACCTTGAAACTCATATTATTTAAATCTAGTCAAAACTCATGAGACCTTTGAATGTTGGGCCTTAAAAAAATAATTTCTTTTCTTTAAATTTTTAATGCACTGTGACCAATCAAGAGATTTACTGATTACATGATTACTGATGACTTTAGTAAACTTCAATATTTGACGATTGTTTAAAATTACTTTTTTTTAAACATAAATTTTTTTATTATTATTTGGGGGCCTGCTGTGGAAGTATGCAGATTGATCTTTAATCCGAAATATTTTTCGAATAATCTACAGACCATTAATTTTTTCAAAATATCTTAAATGAACTGACGCCTATATTGCATGATTTTGCATGAAACCTTTACTTTCACTATGAGGTACTGTCTTTCGATCTACTTTCGATTTTACGTTGTTTACTTTCGATTTTACGTTTAGATTTTAAAAATTTTTTTTGTTCCATTTTGATGTGGGGTCGATAAATTTCATAACACAAAATATTTGATTAACTTTACCTCCTTGTAATTAAATTTTTGTAATTTTAAACGAAATTTTACGTTCATCAACAAACTTCATGTTTTGTTGTATATTTAATTTATATAGAGATAATTAAATAATGTATTATACAAGTAGATAACTTTACAAGTAGATAACTTTAAATAACATAACAACTTTAATAGAGATAACTTGACAACAATTTGTAATAGCAACAGTAATATGTTGTCACAAATATATAGTAATAATTACTTGATAATTATTACTATATATAATTAATATATAGTAAAAATCACTTGTAACAATTAATTGTAATATTAGATAATTGTTATTAAACTGCTTTTTGGTATCATTACCAATCTGAAGTTAAAATATCTACTAACTTACCAATTAAAAGTTTTTTTTATTAAAAAAATTTACTTAATTTTATTTGAAAATAGCTGAAGAAGCAACTTAAAATTAACAATATTTTTTCATTCACTAAACAATCGTCAGCACGTTTAAAATTCAAAAAAATAAAAACTATGCATGATTATTTAAAACATTACAATTAAAAAGCATGATTGCATTTTTAACAAGTTTTATATTTTTTGTAAGAGGGAGTAATATAAATTTTGCAAATAAGAAAATATTTTAAAATTTTTTCTGGAATGATGTTGATAATTAAAAAAAAAAAAAAAAATTACTCCCAAATCGCTGCAACAATTTTTTATTACGTTCGTCTTTATTCAGTAAAAAACATTGTACTTACGCAAACGGTCCTTCTTCACGCCATGTTTTTAACAAACAATCTAATGTGTTCTTATACTTATGTGCATCCAAACCCTAACAAATAAAAATGTGTAATACTTATTTAATAAACCTAAACAGCTAGTTGGTAACTACTTACTTGGTTGTTTCATCCACAATAATAATAGAAAAAATCACTGTGATATTTCACAGCATTCATGCTCTCATGTATATCATGTGTATCCATGCCCTTAAATAACTTTTCTTGAACATTTTGACCAAAACATGCCCTTAAATAACTTTTCTTGAACATTTTGACCAAAACAAAAAAAATTTGTTAGCTAATAATTTGGCTCTGTTAAGAAGAAAAAAATCTTTTTATATCAGAACAGTTATTTAAACTTACATTCAGATATTTCATTCAAAAAATGTATTGAAAATATTATTAAACTTAAAAAAATTTTGATTTATTTTACAGATACATTTTACAGATGTTTTTTAAATTTATTTTATTGCTTTGTTTGTTTATTATTTATTGTATTTTATGATTTCATCATAAGATTAATAGAAGTTAGCTTCACAGAATTGTACTCAGAACCAATTATGTTTACTATTGATGTATTTATTAACATCCAGTATATAAGCCAAATTACTGTTAATATCTAAAAATTAATATCATTCAAAATTATTTACATTATTAAAAATAATTTAAAATGGTTTAGCAAAAAAATTTAAAACCTGATTTAAAAGTAAGAAAATTTAAGAACTGATTTATCAATACTATTTCAGAACTAGTTTAGCAAAAAAATTTAGGAACTAATTTAGCAAAAAAATTTAAAACCTGATTTAACAAGAAAATTTAAGAAATAAAAGTTAACAAGAAGACAAAAAACAAAATAAGTTTAACCATTCTAAAAAGTTATCTCATTAAACCCCAATTTATTATTATTATATTATTATTATTATATATTTTTTGAAATGTCCTGTGTTTTTGAAATCAACGAGTTTTTTTACTAATAGAATAAAAAAAGTTTTTTACTTTTTTTAACATTGTTAAACACAAAATGTTATTATTCAAGTTTAAGAATATATAAATCGTACTACATAAACAGAAAATTTTTAAAATGTATCAACTAATATTTACTTTTTGTATGATAATTGGAAAAGCATAGAGCTGTAAAAAGTCCTACATCATATTCTACACATTCATATCGTGAATCTTTTTGAATATTGTGTTTGTAACCTACCGCACACCATATTGGAGCATTAATTTTTTATTATAATTTTTAATAATCATTCATCAAATATATCTTTTCATTATTGATTCATCAAATATATAATTTTCTATCTTTTTGTGAGTAAATATTTACTTTTTGATAATTATTTTTGCGCTGAAAGAACTTCCTTATTTGTCATATTTAAAATTAAACTGAACACGTGTAAAAATGAATTATTGAAACAAAAGCTCTGTAATTATGTAGTAGTAAATTTTGTGATCAGTGGGACCTAAAATTACTGATGAACAAGAAGGAAATATAAAGAGATGCATAAAACCGTAATATTATGGCATGGACATTTGGGAACCACTTTTAGCTTGCATAATATTACAACATGGACATTTGGAAACTACTTTAAGTTTGCGTAATAATACAGAATGGACTGTTATTGGGTTAACTCTGTGCTTTTTCTAGCTGAGACAAGATTATTTAACAAGAAAATCTTTTTGGTGACACATATGACAATAATAATTATGTATAGACAAAAAAGTTATAAATTATTTTCACAACTATTAGCTAAACAACCTTATTATCAATGATGATCTAATGTGTTTATTAACAAAACCAAGCAGTTTGTAAAAAAAAAATGTATATTCTCCCAATAGTTAAGGGAACACTGTAGTTAAAGAGAATGTAACTATAGTCAAAGAGGCTGCAAACTGTTTTTACCAAAATGTTGTTACCTGCTCACATTCTTATGACTCCAAAAGAAAAACCTTGATAAACAAGGCTGTTGCATGGGAGAACAACCTTTATGCAACAATACAAGGGATCTGGTGGGATGCAAACTGTTTTTCTCATATATGCAATACTAAAAGGGATATGGTGGGATGTAAACTGTTTTTCTCATATATATATGTACCTCTCATATCATACCTCTCATATCATATATATACCTGCATCCTTGTTTTGATAACATCAATAGGTGTATTTCCAAACACACTAGCTGCACCTGCTATTCCTCCAATAAAAAATGTTTTAACTGGACCTATCTCTTTTGTGTGATCATCACCTTGAAAATAAGATTTCAAGTTGTTGAATACAAAAAATCGTATTGCTTGATTTGAACCTTGCTTTAATACTGTTGCTGTAAGTCCTCGATATGTACCATGAAGCCCTAAATACAAAAATCTATTTTATATAATATAAAAACATATTCATAAAAACATTCAATCATAAATATTATAATATTAAAATAATATAAAATTATAAATAATGATTAAAAATAAGTTTAAGTCTTTGATTACTAGAGTAATAAAGCATTATGTATTTATGTATGTATGTATGTATGTATGTATGTATGTATGTATGTATGTATGTATGTATGTATGTATGTATGTATGTATGTATGTATGAATGTATGTATATATGATGGATAAAAGATTTATAAAAATACAGAATGGAATTATGAGTAAAAAATTGGAAAGCACAATATAAAGAAGCAACCTTAACAGATGCTAACTTTGCAACATATTGGATATATATTGGACAAGATATTGGTCTTCATAAGAGGTCAGCAGTGAAAGATAATCTTACATTATGAATTCTTATAAATAGTAGCAATGACGAGTAAGGTCATTTAAGAGGTGAATTAGAGGAAAAGTTCTTTGCAAATAGTTCTGTCTTTCTCTGTTAATAGTTTCTATCTTTGGGAGAGTTAATAAGATGGATCCATGTATGATGGATATGAATCAAACTTTGGGAGAGGTAATAAGATGGATCCATGAATGATGGATATGAATGGAATTTTAGACTTGCCTTTGTTAATGACTATATTAAAAATTTTCAAAAAGACTCTAGAATCATACTTTCTGAGATCTTAGATCTTTTTGCAATAATTTGAGATACTAGATCTTTTTGCAATAATTCTTACTACCACCCTAAGGCTGACTGGGATTCATTAAGTGATTTAGTCTCATATGTAATCTTTTGGATTTAGGCAGGTATAGATGCTTTTATTCCTTCTTGTTGGTTTAAAGTCAAGCATCACTCTGCATAATGGTTTTTCTTTCTTATGCAGCTTTTCCTATTATTATTATTATTTATTTTTTTTTTGCTTTTTTTTATTTTATTAAAACAACTCTATTGATAACAACTGTTTTTTATTATTGAAATAATAAAAAAACGTTTTTTAATTAGTTGCCAACTATTCTATTAAAATGTTTAATATTATCTTGATTATTTTTATTAAAAAGGTTAGATTCCTAATGAAATTTAACATGTTTTTCATATACTTTATTTTCATCTGAATTCATTCTATTTTTAAAATAACAAGTAACTTTTATACTTTTAATATGTGAATTTTTTAAAATTAAAACATTACTTCATTTATCAAACTGCTTAAAGGATATAATTAGACTTATCTAAACATTACAAAAAAAAAAAAAAAAAGCTTTTAGCTCAACACTAATATCATCTACACATGCAAAATCATCAGTTTCATACCTAAATGGTTTTACACATGCAAAATTGTCAATTTCATACCTAAATGGTTTTATACATATGCAAAATCATCAATTTCATACCTAAGTGGTTTTATACATATGGAAAATTGTCAATTTCATACCTAAATGGTTTGAAATAAAGCCTGAATTTAATGGTATAAAGCATGAAATTGAAAAAAAATGAGAAAGAAAAACCTCCTGCAAAATATATTCCTTCAAATACATTCAAAAAATAATAATACTCTTAAACATCTTCACTTCCATAAAAACTGCAACCACTATTAGAGTTGGAAGTTACTAGAAGAGAAAAGAGGAAGTTACTTGAAGAAAAGATTACAAATTATATGAATCACAAAAACAAGATGAAGGGAGCAAACTCCAAAGAACTGATGTTCAGGGAAAAAAACCAAACGAATAAGAATTTTTAAAACACATAGAAACAGTCACAGACATATTAATATTTAAACTTTAATATTTAGAATATATAGTTCCCAAAAAACATAAACAAAAGAGATTCAAATAATTTTTTTTCAATGTCATAAAAACAAGTTAAAAATTGGAAAAAATCTTGCACACTCATGAACAAAATGCATTATAGACCTTCAAATTAGCCTTAAAGTTGCTGCAATTGCAATAATATGCTAGAAGGTTATAAAACTATAAAAACAAAACTTATCTAATTAACTATCTAAATTGAAAGAGCAAAAAAGTACAAAGTTTCAGAATTTTTTGTTAAAAAATAAAGAAATAATACGATTAGTCTTTTTGAGCAACTAAATACCAAAATTGTTAAGACAACTGCCAAAACTGCTAAAACAGAAGAATAAATATTTTACATGCAAGTTTTGACAAAATTAAAAATGGCTGCATTTTGATGATGACTTAAATAAAATGCAACTTCAGTTAACTTCATGGTGAAAAATCTTAGTTTAATTGCTTACGGCAGTGTAAGCAATAAATTTAAATACAAGTTTGTAAAAAAAATTATTTTACTGACAAGCAATTTGTAGTTGTGAAATAAAAAGAAGGAGTTTGTGATGCCATCAGCTTTAAATCAGAAATTTATATTCAAGAGAGTCATTTAATTACACTGTATTCCTTTGTTGTTGTCTTTTTTGCCAACTTAGTGCAGCTTTTTGTTCACACCATAAAAATAAACTATGTTATTGACAAAGAATAATTAGAAGTAGACGCAGAAGTTAATGGACAACATCAGTAATCTCCGATTATTTTTAAAAAAAAAGCAAAATATTGAAAATAAAAGCATTTATAACAGTATTAAAATTAATTTGAAAAAATGTAATTGTAAATAAATGTAACACCTTCTGTTTTGATGATAGTATAAACGCCACTAAAGAATCCCTTGTATTTAGGATTCGGCTGTGTTTGATCATGTATGAATTTCACTTTTATGGTTTCCATTGGGCAAACAACAAGTACAGCCTCAGCCACTCCTGCACCTAACCCACACATAAGTGTAGCTGAATGGGTGAGTTTACCATGTGAATCTGCCATTCTATTTCTCAGGAATTCATATGTTGAAAATCTGAATAAAGAATAAAAATACTTAACATAGCCTTTGATTTTTACTTAATTTTAACACTTAATTTTAATTGGTTAAAAAAACACTTCAGGTAATTACCATGTAATGTAAAATGTTGCGTATTGTAACCTAATATGTTCATTTAAAAATGTAAATGGGTTTATAAAAATTGGGATAAAATTAGGTTACAAAGTACAAATTAAATAGTATTGATATGCTAATTTAAAAAAAGTGTCTCAAAAATTATACTTTATTTTAACCAAAAACTATTTTGTAAATAAGTTTTTAAATTTAAAAAACTTTTTTTAATATTAGATGGGTTTCAAGTAAGAACTTTATCAGTTCGAAGACAAATGTAGGGATAAAATTTTGAATAACAACACAATTTTTAGTTTATTTTAATAAAAGTGATTTCTAAAATATATTATTTTCAAAAATTACTAAAGCAATTTTCTATCTTGTAATTATTCACATAATATTTCTGATCTTATGTAATAGTTTCTAAAAAATCTTTAAACTCAATAACTAATAGTCTATAACTTATTAGCATAATTTATGTTTAATTTATGTTTTAGAAATCTTCGAAGTAATTTGTTATAAATATTTTATTTGCAAAATTTGTCTTATTTTTGATCAAAATAAAAAAATTTGTTACAGCAAAAATATTTCAATAGAAATTTTTTTTTAATTAAACAAATCAGATTTTATTTTATACATAATTAGTTACATATAGAATAATAAATAATTGATTAAAACCTCCAGTTGAGTGGAAAAATGTATGAAAATCAAAAAATAAAATTAATGCTTTTTATTAATATTTTTCAACAATTTCAACAAAATAACTTTAATTTGTCAGCAGTTTTTGTTTTTAAACACTCTCTTGTGCTCAACGACTTAAAGTGTGATTAAATGGAAGTCAGCAATATATGTGCTGTTAGTTTTAAAACCTTTGATAAAAAGTCATCTAAGTTTCATAAATAACCAAAGCTATTGAAGAAAAAATAAAAACTTTTACTCGGGATAGCTATGATCAGATTTTAGTTAACCATCCTAAAGTTATTTGTAGCAATTTTTATAAAAACCTTAATTGTTTAGAAAAAAATGATACAAAATACCTTAATAAGTGACTAAACGAAATTTCTCAGGTTAGTTGTTAAACTGAATTAAAAATTATATTTATGACTAAGTATTAAATTACTTTAAATTTGTTTTGTTTTTTTATTAATTTTGTAAAAAGAAAGAACTGTCTCAATGAACCTCTTTACATTTGAAAGAAAAGTTATTTAGACGGCTTATTTTAGCATTTAAAATGCTATTTAAATAATGTGTTATACTATTTATATTACTAGTTTGTATAATTTTATATAAATAATGGATTTAAGTAGTCTTTTTTAATTGGTCATTAAAATTCAGTTTTGCTCTAAACCATAAAAAGTAAATTATACTGAATTAAGAAATATTTTTTTGTTTAGATTAACCGTCAAGTTATCAGAAGAACTTCAGATGTTTTAGAAATATCAAAAGATAACAAAATTATTACTTCTGAGTTAAATAAAAGATAAAAATGAAAGTATGTGTTTAATATGTTATGGAATTGTTAAGCCAGGAATTATTCAACTTTGTGGGGATGTTCAAGCTGTAAAAAATTTAGTTAATGCAGCATATATATTGGGACCAGCAAGTGCAGAATGTGTTGCTTCAAGTATCCTAAAAACTAAAATGCAAAATGAAAATATTTTAGAGGTGCAAAATTTACAATTGCATTTACAATAGTATTGCAGCTGGAACTATGGACAAAAAAAGTGATAGTGCAAGTTTAAATCAAATGTCTTTTGGAACAATTATGGAGCTTGTAAAATGTTTAGAACTATCCCAGTGAAAAACCAAAAATGTGTTCTATATTTAGAAAGAATCTTGGGTTTCAAAGTAGTATTGAAGGAAATATATTTAAAAAATTAGAAATTTTAAAAGCTGAAATGAATGAATATTTTTTATGTAAATAAGAATTTTTTGAAGCTGGTGATTTAGTAAATAAATCAAAGGTTTATATAAAGGATATTGATGAATTTTTACATGTTATAATCACTGAAAGAAATATTGACTCTCTTTCTACAATTATAAGAGTTGCTGAGAATTCTGTTCAAGGTTTTTTAAAAGTCACAATGAGTGTTTTTAATCCCCATGATAAAACTAGCAAGGTCAGGTTGGTACCTGACCTTGATGATGCTGGAATAAAGCATTGTTTATTGTTGCTATTAAAGAAGGTTACCATGGCATTGGGTTTGATAGAAATAATGCCAACTGACCTTAAGATAAGTTAGATGTTCTTGCTCATGATATTGCTGATCAAGGAAAACTTGATTAATTTCCAGTTATTTTGAATGTTTAAGAAAGTTTGAAGTAGTAAAGCAACCTACCTTGAAAAAATTGATACGGAGTCTGTGATACAGAGTCTGCTGTTATGGAATTTAAGACAGCTTATGCTAATTTAATGGAATATATTAATCATTACTTTGAAAATATTTCTTTAAATATAACATGGAAAGTTCATATTGCAATTAACCATATTGTACAATTTCTAAAAATAGTACCAATACTGATAATGGACTTATAATTTACTCAGAACAAGCAGGTGAATCTGTTCATCATGAGTATAAAAAACATGGTCTAAGTATTAGAGATGACAAAACCACTCTGATTATGCTAAACGATAGAAGTCAAGTGTTGTTGAATTTTTAACATTTAATAAATAGTTAACATGTTTATAATTTAAGTTAATATATTGTTGACCCACAATAGTGTCAAAAAGTTTTGCTTCTTAAGTATTTTAATAGCATGTAAGATTAAGTATCGATAAAATTTAATACTATTTATGTAATTCTAAAGCTTAGTCAAGATAATTGTTCACATTAAATCCATTTATTATATTTTTAAAATGTTTTTTACAGGTAAAAAAAGTTCAGGTCTGAACTTTTTTGCTATGTTATCTGTTGGAGAATATATGTTCAAACACTTAATGCATCTACAATATAAGTATACACAAGTATAGAGTAAAATTAGGTTAAAGCATGTGATAAATTTAATTTTTTCCTAAATTATGTGAAATACATGAACTTCAATAACATTACCCATGTACCATCCCCCTCTTTACCCCCTCCTCTTTTAATCAAAAGTCAAAATGTGTAAAATTTTTATTTTAACCATTTCAATACCCTTACTTAATTTAACTACTGTTTTATTTCTTAATAACAAAAAAAAAAATTGGATGTAGGGAGACTTCAAACCTGGAGGTCACTGTGGTTCACAGTGAATGCAATTAAAGTAAGTTATAGCTATATAAAAAATTTATAAAGAATTATAAAAGTTCACAACAATGCAATAATTAATAGCAAATGAATTTCTAAAAAAAACTGTATGTACCCTAACGCAAAAAATTGAGGTGGCAGCCATGATCTTAATGTTGATGGTTATTCTATATATATCCATATCGATTATATCCTTCTATATATTCCATATCGAAGGATATAATCCTTCGATGTGGAAAGATTGCAATAGTCACATGCTTGGCCTGGGTGTTTCTTCACATATCAATTTACCTATTTATTTTAAAATGTTTGAATTTTCTGACTATTCATTTGAGTGCTTTGATTTAGCACCATTTTATTCAATTACCATTTGCTTTGTTTTTTATCATTATCCTTCTTTTTATGACTGCACTCTTTTCAATATTAGATTTTCAATATTACTTCTTTCTCAAATCAATGCAAAAAGATGTTGTCTAACACAAAGTACTAATTAATTGTCAAATTAATTAATTTTTAAATTATTAAATTTCATATTTTATCTCAGAAGTTACAATGTAAAAGCTTTTTAAAAACCTTTTTGCCATTAACAAAAGCAAGAATATCTACCATCTTTAATAATGAGTTTGATTATATTACCTTTCCCAAAAATAAGGCTCCTAAAAATTTTAAGAAAAGTTGTTTTGTTAACTAGTAAAAAGTATTCTCCAGTCTTTGTTGTTCAACGTCACAACAGTCTTGTCATCACTTTTTAATCACTTGAAAACAAACAATCAATCATGAACAAGATCTTGCTTTTGTGACAGGTTGAACCTCACAGTGGCAGGTGAACTTTAACTAGTTGTTTACTGCTTATAATTATCATAATATTAATATTTATATTCAATTCAAATTCAGATTTTGGCAATATTACTCTTCTTCTTCTTTTTAGGTTCAATATTAAAAACTGTAAAAAAACTGTATCACTATCCAATTACCTGATTTAACTTTTTATTTAAGAAAAACTGTATCACTATCCAATTACCTGATTTAACTTTTTATTTAAGAAAAACTGTATAACTGTATATCCAATTACCTGATTTAACTTTTTATTTAAGAAAAACTGTATAACTATATATCCAATTACTTGATTTAACTTTTTATTTAAGAAAAACTGTATAACTATATATCCAATTACCTGATTTAACTTATTATTAAAGAAAAACTGTATAACTATATATCCAATTACTTGATTTAACTTTTTATTTAAGAAAAACTGTATAACTATATATCCAATTACCTGATTTAACTTTTTATTTAAATTGTTAAGTCTTGTATCATGCTTTCTAGCTCTTTAACTGTCTTTTTAACTTTCTAATAACTTACAAATTTTAATTTTCTAATAACTTACAATTTTTAACTTTCTAATAACTTACAATTTAAATAGTGATAAAAAGTATGTTTGTTTAGAAAAAAAGAAATGATTGTTCATGTTATTAACATGATTATTGTTTTGTAATATATTAATATTTTAGGGTTTATATTTAAACATTTATATATAAACCTTTGCAGCGACATATCCAGGCCGATTTTGATACCGGCATACTGGTATGGGCCCCCAAATTTCAGCCCAAACTCAATTTAAAACAATTTTATATTAGCACCCATTAAAATAAAATAATTTTTTATTACTTATTGTCTTGCTGTTTTGTGAAAAAATTTGTTATGATAATTATGACAATAAAATTTGTTACGTTGGTAATATCCTTTAGAAAAAGCAACATTTGAAAAACAACTTTTAAAACACATTTTAAATGTATTTTAAGTCAATTAGAATGCTTTATAAAATATGGAATATGTTACAACTGGATTAATATGTAAAACGCATGTTTTGATTGGATTTAAATATGAAACGCTCAGCATTTTTTAATTAAAAATTTAACATTTAAAAAATACACTTATTTGAGTTTCTCCTCCGCTTATGTTTACTAAATACAACTTTCAAAGCGATTAAATTATATGAGCTTTAAACTTTTTAATTTCAAATAACAGTAAAATTGCATTAAAAATATTTTAAATAATAAAACAAATAAAAGTTTTTAAAACATAATAACATAATAATAATCGCGCCAAAAAACTTTTGAATAAATTGACCTTGTTATGCAATAAATACGGTATGTAATTAATCTTTTAAAGTCTGTATAAAAGAAACATACAAATATTGTTTATTAAATGTTATAATTATCGCTTGTATATGAAATAATATTCTTTATATTAGTAAGCGAATAAAGCGAGTAAATGAACTAGCAGCGAATTGACGTTGGCGTTAAAGCCGTCATTTTGTAATAAATGTATCATTATTTTGGTTAATTGTTTACATTTTTACATAGAAAAAGCTTAAAATACTAGTTTTATAACAATAAATAATTATATTAAAATTTGTGTTTAAATTAAAAAAAAACAATCTATTAAGGTAGACAGGATTTTTAGACAGGTATGCCCAAAAAATTTCTGGATACATCACTGCTTTGTTAATAAAGTTATATTAGGTATAAATTCTGATCAATATAATATTTATAGTTTTGATACATTTTGTTTAAAAAAAAAATATTTTGTAAAAGATATGATTTTAATTTAAATAAAGCTTGTAATTAGTTTTATCAATTAAATAAATTATAAATTATAATTTATTTAATTGATTTTAAATTATAAATTAAAAAAAAAAAAAATTTACAAAACACTTAAATTTAACATTTAATAATACATAAGTTCCAATGTATAAATATTACTGAATAATGACAAATATTAAAACAATTATTGAATTTATAAAAAATAATTTAAATAATATGATTTTATAAATAATAGGGAATAAAAATATTATTAGAGTTCCTTTCTTGTTTAAAATTATTTTTATAAATATAGTTTTTTTTATAACTTTTTCAAAAGAAATCACATTAAATGTTTAATTATCTTGATGTATTTGTAAAAATGTAGAAATTAATGTAAAAAGATTTTGAACGCTATTTAAAGCAATTTAAATAAACTGTATAATTTTTGCTTTTTTTTTTTGAGTCATAAAAATAATAGTAAACATAAAAAAAAAAAAAAACTACCTTACAGATGATTTTGGTATAGAACCATAAAGGAGTGAACTAAGACCTCGATATAACCCGAAAAAACCATGGTTTTTTATCGTAGTTGAGATGCAATTTAAGATACCTGTGTATTTAGGCACTGCAGCACGTGAATCTAATTGTAACTGTGTTTTAACATACTCTGTTGGAAAAGTACACAGTATTTCAAGACCTCCTGTTATTCCACCTATAAAAAAAATTTTCAAAAAAAAAAAATATTTTAATCATTCTATAACTTCTATTTTTTTTTTCGAATAAAAGAAAAGAAAAAAACATTTATATTAAAAATTGTAAAATAAAACAAAATATTCCAATGACAAATGGGTTTTTTGTTGTGCACTGAATTAGGCCCGTAAAAATTGTAAAAAATGTGAAGAAGGTAATTAGCAATTAATTTTGTTCCTTTTTTTTGTTGAAAACTTTTTTATTAATCAATGACAACATTATTTAACTAAGTATTTTACTCAAAACTGTTTTACCAACCTTGTGTACCAACCAAATTTTTTAAGTCTTGTGGCAATATTCTTAGTATCATTAAATCTCTATTTTTTCTTGGTCTCTGGTGTCCAGGAGCTCTAAATGTATTGAGTGACTTTATGAGATTTTATGAGATTTTATGACTTGGAACTTGGATATTACTTGAACAACGAGGATATATATAACCCCTAGAAATATTTTATTTTAATATAAAGAATTTTATAAGTTTCACTATGACAGATGATTTAACTTAATTTAATTATATAAAAACTTATCTAAGATGTCAACTTTTTAAAATGACTTGGAACCTATTATTTTTTAGCCTGGAGTCCTTGCTACCGTTATACATAAGGACTCCAGGTCTTAAAAGTAGACCATATTCCTCTAAACAGTTTTGGAGCTCCTGGAAACAAAAAACCAGGAAAAATAACCATTTTAGAATAATTTCAAGGAACATTTCCTCTAATTTGAATTTTGAATTTAATGGTTGTACTCATCCTGCAATTCCAGTTAAACAGATTAACCCGAGGATACAACAAATCAATGAATGTGTGAATGTTTGTTAAAAAAGAGAGAAAAACAAACACCAGGCTTGGTCAGGAAGCGGGTGCGATCGCACTCGATAAATAAACCGGCCAGATTTTTTAGTCGTATTGAGAACATTTCAAAAACAAACAAAAAAGTGCATTAAAATTAACTGGACCGATGAGAGACAGTTAAAAAAAAATATAGCTTTTAACGCAAAAAAACTTTAAGCAAAATAAATTTATTAGAGCAATTATTTTTGAAACGTCGCTCTTTTATAATTTTTTTTATAAAATTAAGCGACGTTTTTAATATAAAGTAACAACTATAAAGAAACAAATGTTCTTCAATTTATCAAAGAGTATATATAATTTTTATTTATATACTTATGTCTTATTTCCAACAGAGATTTAACCAGTAAAACTAACGCTAGATGATTTATTTAAAAATAAAAAAGTTTTTTCAATAACTGTTTTATGCTTCGCGTAGTTTAAAAAGTTTAACACATTTGAAACAATTATTCTTAGTAAGATGAACAAATGAAATAATTAAATCATTGAGTTACTGTAGAAATTCAATTAGCTAGATAGAAATTAACTAAAAACGTTAAATTACTTTGAGAGGAGGAAGCGGAACTTACAATAACGCTAACAATGTTTAGTCAGTGGGCTTTATAATTTTAATTAGTATTTAAAACAGAAAAAAGTAACTTTAAGTATAATTTCTTGGGGGAAAGAATCAGTTATCGGGTACACTGAGGAAAATGGATTAGTGGTTAAAATTATTTGTATTAACTTTGACGATTATTAACAGTTTCATTGAAAACGCAGTTATTACTAAAAGTATTTTTGTTTACAAAATCAATTGCACAAATTACTTTAAAAGATTACATTTGAATAAAATAGACATACATAAAATTACATAGATAAAAATACATTACATACATAAAAATACATTACATACATAAAAAATACATCTCTTATATATATAAAATAAGAATATACTAATAAAATCTATAATATATTTACAAAACGTTGACAAGTTCAAAAATATAAATTTAAAACATTTATTATTGTAAACAAATAAAGTTAGTTCAAAAAATTTATAGCTTTGTAGATGTGGCTCTAACAATTAAAATAATAGTTTGTTTGATAGTATATTCTTATAATAATTTATGCTAGAAATCTCACGAAAACGTAACAACATTCAAATAATACAATTTTTTTAAATATTTTAATAGAATACTCAGGACATTCGGTTAGTATTTTTTGAATACTCTAGAAATTTCGGTTAGTATTTTTTGAACCAATAGAATTAGTTGTTCATAGATTTGGTGGGTTTTTTGTGTTCGCGAATAATCTTTTATTTTTCTGTAGCTGTAATATCCTCTATTTTAAAAAAACGAATGCAGGTAATTTTTACTATATTTTTAGATACAAAAAAAAGATTTTTTAACTGCTGTTATGCCGTAAAAACCGACTACGAGTTAGGGAAATTCTGCAAACATCTATTATTATTACATGGCGTTTTATATATATATATATATATATATATATATTTATATATATATATATATATATATATATATATATATATATATATATATATATATATATATATATATATATATATATATATATATATATTATTGTATGTATGTAAAAGTATTGATGGGTTTCAATCTTCCAACCAGAGAGTCAAGGCTCTAGAAATGCTACAGAATAGAAAATCACCTAAATTAAATGTGTAGACTTTATAAGACAGATTAAAGAAATATATTCATTTAATATGCACGACAGTATTGACAATATGGAACCTCTTCAGTCAACTATATTTACAAAAATAAAGAAAAACAATTTAAATGCAAATATTGTGGACTACAACACCTACCACGAAAATGTCCAGCGTTTGGATAAAAGTGTAATTAATGTGGAAAATTCAATCATTTTAAAAATGTATGTAAATCTAATATTAATTATGTAAGAAAAGTAGATGAAGTGGAGACTGATGATGCAAGTGTATATTCTGTTAACGTGAATGACTCAAATTCAGAAACTAATGTCAAAATAAATGATTTCAACATTAAAATGCAAGTTGACACTGGAAGTCAGGTCACAATTATACCTAAAAACTATTGGGAGTTAATGTCAAAACCTAAGTTACAAAAATGTTACCTTCGTTTCAAAAAATTTGATGGTAAAGTTGTAGAGCCTTTTGTTAGTGGACGCTTAATAAACTATAAAGCAATTATAATAATAAAAAATGGCATGCAACCAAGTTATTTCGAATCTCAACCTCTTCCAATTCATATACAACCATTAGTAATAAATAAACTTAATGTAATGATTCAACAAGGATTGTTGAATCATTACATTAAGTTCCACCTGGTGGAAGCATATGGGGTTCACCACTTGTTGTTGTCAGAAAACAAGATGGAAATCTACATATATGTGCCGATTACATAATAGGAGTTAATCAAAAGATTTGTTCAGATTCATACCCTATTCCAAATATTGAGAATGTATTTCATAAGATGGCAGGAATGAAGTACTTTGCCAAAATTGATCTCAAGGAAGAATGTCACTAAACTGAGATGGACAATGGTGCACAGGAAATAACAACAATTAACACACCTATCATATTGTTAAGATGAACATGCTTGTCTTTTAGAATAAAAACTGTGCTATATTTCAAAGAGCAATAGAATCTATTGTTGGGAACATTATTCCTAATATGATGATATTTCAAGATGATATATGTGTTGGTGGTAAAAATGCTGAAGAACTAAAATGTAATTTGATGGAAACTTTAAATAAATTGGAAGAATCAGGAATGATCATAAATAAAAGAAAATCAGTAATGAAAACAAAAAGCCTCTCATTTCTAGGATATGAGCTATCTGAGAAGGGAGTTACTCCAGATCATAATTTAGTTAACAAAATAGTCCAAATCAGTTTTCCCAATGATAAAAAAGAACTTGAATTGTTTATAGGATTAGTAAACTTTTATGGTCAACATATTGAAAGATATGCTGAAAAGATTCTACCGTTAAATAATTTGAGGAGGAAAATAGTTACCTTTGAGTGGAAAAAAGAACACCAAAATGCATTTGAATTGCTAAAGTAGAACCTTTCTGAAGACCCATTGGTAAAAATTTACGACATCAATAAAGATCTAGAATTAACAACTAATGCTAGTGAAAAGGCAATATCCGGTATATTATCACAAGATGGTCACCCTGTTCTTTTTTCTTTTACAATCTTTGTATGATACAGAAACAAGATATTCTAATATAGGGAGAGAAGCGCTGGCTATAGTGTGGTCTACTCACAAAGCTAGGCATTTTCTGATTGATAAAAGATTTAAGCTTATATCAGATCACAGACCATTGGAGTTCATATTTGATTCTAACAAAGAACTTCCTAAAGTGACTTCTGCCAGAATTTTAAGGTGGACCATGGCCTTTGACTATGGTATTAGTTATAAAAAGGGAGAAGGTATTCCTCATGCAGATGCATTATCATGATTGTTTTTTCTATTACAAGATGAAGAGAATATTCAAGAGACTTTTATACACTTAGTTGAATCAGAAATTGTAAACCTTGGATATTAAAAGCAGAATTAGTAAAAATGATTGGATGTATATATATATATATATATATATATATATATATATATATATATATATATATATATATATATATATATATATATATATATATATATATATATATATATATATATATATAAAATATATATATATAATAATATATATATATATATATATATATATATATATATATATATATATATATATATATATATATTATTTTATGCATGTAAAAGTGAATATAGAATCTATAATATAGATATATGATTAATATGAATAGATAGTTTCAATTTTATTCTACGATACAATAACTGCTCCTCCAACAACATCTATGTTACTAAGAGACGTGGTGCTAAATTTGTATAACTCAAGCCCATATGTAAGCTTAGAAACTGTTAATTAGTTATATAGATAAACAATTGTTGACGGCTGGCAAAAACAAATTCCAATGTCGATTTGAGCTATTGCAACCGATTGAAACTGAGTTATACACTCATTTAAGTTTGTTTTTTTAAAGTGTTACAATCATGTTATTATTAGTACCATTATCCCATTGGAAACCTAGATGTTTTAATTTATTTTGAAGATATATTGAAGTTCTGTTATTTAAAATTAGCCTCTCCATAAGTTTGAAATCTGTCAATAAGTTCATTTTTAATTGGGCGTTTAACAACACCAATAATATGATATTTTTATTAACTTATTATTAAATACTTAATATGATATTATCATTTTTAAAGGTTTTAAAAAAGAAATGTCAAAGAAACTTTTATTTTATTTTAAGTTTATATGATTTTTTATTTGTAAATAAATTTAACAAACTAAATTTTAAAAAATTCATTATTTTGTATCAATGGACAGTTTACAATCATTAGATCATTGCGTATTAATTATCATGAATTTCTGCGTACTTTGCAAATGTGTGAAAAATTGTTTTGAAAAATAAAAAATTGATTAAATTTAATAAGCATTTTTGATACATTTAATAACTTATTAACTAGAATAAACATTATTTAAAAACAAAATTCCCTTATTTGACAAAAATCTAATAAATTAGATGTTTGCCAATAAATAAAGATACAAATGTCAACATTCATTAAAAAAAAAATTTGTCGCACAATGAATCCACCATTAAACATCCAAATCACTTCAGCTTTTAATGTTAAAGTCAATTCTCAATTAAATTCTTATATGACTTGTGGTTCAGACAATCTTTCAATCATAGTCTTACAAAAGTGTTCTCCAAAACTCTTTTCAATCCTCGCTAAAATAAATAAGTTCCAATATTTAAAAACTCTAAAAGCACACTGACCTCTCTTAACTATTTTACAACCAATCTTCTCTGTATTACATATTATATGCTTTAAAGATTTAGAGATTTTCTTTTTAACCACAGTATTTAAGTCATTCTCAAAGTTCTCCTCTCTTTTTCATTTCTAACAACTTAACATTTTTGATTAGAACAAGCAATTTTTACTCTGATTACTTTTCTGGGGCTTGCAGTGGCTTTTAAGATTTGTTATTCGCCAATAAAGACATTCCTTTATTGGCGAATAACAACCCTTTCACTCTCAGACAAGGCCTGAAAGCATATTGTAAATGTAGTTGGACCTGCTTTATTTGCCAACCTTGAGGCGTTCTATCATTGTGATAAAGTTGCATCTCTTTCTTTTTTTGTGCAAATACTATCATGGTTATTGTTCAATGAACTATCATCTCTAGTTTGACCAACCAAAACTCATTCTTGTTTGGCTTGTCATTCAGCAAAGCCACATCCTTCTACAGTATCTGTTGCCATTATTAATTTTCTAGTAACTCATAACTTAATAGTGGTTGTTTGCAACCTTGTTGGAAGTAAATTAGTTAAAAATATATATATAAATAATGCAAGTATTTTAAAAATAGTAAATGCATGCATAAATTCATAATATATAAAGTATTATAAACTTTTTCCTAGTCCCAGCTATCAACTCGGTTTGTAAAAAGTCTCATTTTAAACCAGGGCTGGAGCTGGGGCCCTGGTCACTTACAAATAGAGATGTGCTAGGTACCTGGTTTGGACCCAGGGACCCGGTAAAACACGGAATCTGCCATTTTGTTGATATGCCCGGCAACACCAGGTATCTTTAAAAAAATCTTTAACAGACATAACCTTTAATTGCTCCAACTTGTAAATAATAATAATAAAACAAATTTTGCTTTAAATTACTTGAAGTTACTTTATAATTTAAGTTACTTTAAATTGTGTAGCAATATCGTTAACCAATTAAAAAATAGTGCTTCAACTAATAAACTTCTTGATAGTTTCAGAAGTTGATAATTCCAATGTACTAAATCTAAACATGCCTCTCTTAAATAACGTTTTCGAATATATTTTTGACTATATTATATTGCAAAACGTTGATAACAGTTAATATTACAAAAGGTAACTGATTGATACAGATATAAAAACCATAAAGTAAAAAAAAATAGTATGAGAATACAAAAAAAAAAAAAAGAAAAAGAAAAAGAAAGAAAAATAATAAGTAATTTCTTCTTTTTATTGCTAAGAACGTGAGAGAAATGATCCTTTACAATAAACAAACGTTTAAACCAACAACCTTTTAAGCAAAATAGACGATTTTCAACTGAATTTTTTTTTGGACGTGACAAGAAAGTCGAGACAAGAAATCAATGGTTTTTGTAGGGCCGACGACACGGTTTTTAAAGTGGGGGGCACACTACCTCATTTCAAAAAAAAATTCTCAATTTTTTATAAAAAAACATCAATTTCTTTGAAAAAAAAAGGTCCACACAAAAAAAAACATTTTTGAAGACACTTTTATTACTCAGATGAGATCACAAAAGCAATTTATTCTATTTATTCAGCAATTGAACTTTTAAAGCAGCAATCTATTTATTCAGCAATTGAACTTTTAAAGCAGCAATCTATTTATTCAGCAATTGAACTTTTAAAGCAGCAATCTATTTATTCAGCAATTGAACTTTTAAAGCAGCAATCTATTTATTCAGCAATTGAACTTTTAAAGCAGCAATCTATTTATTCAGCAATTGAACTTTTAAAGCAGCAATCTATTTATTCAGCAATTGAACTTTTAAAGCAGCAATCTATTTATTCAGCAATTGAACTTTTAAAGCAGCAATCTATTTATTCAGCAATTGAACTTTTAAAGCAGCAATCTATTTATTCAGCAATTGAACTTTTAAAGCAGCAATCTATTTATTCAGCAATTGAACTTTTAAAGCAGCAATCTATTTATTCAGCAATTGAACTTTTAAAGCAGCAATCTATTTATTCAGCAATTGAACTTTTAAAGCAGCAATCTATTTATTCAGCAATTGAACTTTTAAAGCAGCAATCTATTTATTCAGCAATTGAACTTTTAAAGCAGCAATCTATTTATTCAGCAATTGAACTTTTAAAGCAGCAATCTATTTATTCAGCAATTGAACTTTTAAAGCAGCAATCTATTTATTCAGCAATTGAACTTTTAAAGCAGCAATCTATTTATTCAGCAATTGAACTTTTGTCAGCAATTTATTTGCTGAATAAGATATTCTCAAATAAAGTTAAGTACAATTAAAAGAAAATAATAACAACAGCTTTCCATAGTAACTTAGTATTATGAAAAAATCTTACAAATTATGTCATCAAAAAACTTTTCTCAAAAAAACAACTATAGTGCTTAAATCTATAAGCCTCTTTACAGAAACAATTGAAACCAACAATGTTATTACACTAAGTTATTCTATGTTATTGGTTAATAATATATTGGTAAATTTAGTATATTATAAAACTTAAATATTTTTATATTAAACTAAATTTATATAGCATTAATAATGAAAAAAAATCTAATACCTGCCATAATGGCTTTTCCTGGGTGCTTTTTCCTTGCAGAACCTAACGGTGATGCCATGATGGCAGTTCTTTTAACAGTTGGCACAGATACAGAAGTCATGATGTCAGTTTTTTTGGCTGTTATAAAGAAATATTTTGCGCACTCTTAGTTCATAAATACATCAAATTCAAATTCACCTTTAACTGAAAAAGATAATTAATAAAATAATTTCTTTATGCCAGTAGAAAAATATTATCTGTAGAAAGTAATAATACTACTTACTTTTTTTTAAATAGTTCTATTTTATACAAAAATGCAGTCACTATTTAACTTATAAGCTAATAAAAAGTTAAAGAGAAAGTTGAAGAGCAAGAAAAAGGTGACAGACAGCTAAAAAAAACGGTATGAGTGAGGAAAATACAAAATTAGTATAAAATTCCAAAGCTTTGATGTTCAAGGAAAAAATAAGATGAATAATAGCTTTCGAGCATGAAGAAGCAGATACAATAAAAAATTAGAACTTTACTGAATGACAAGTCACATGAGATTGAGATTAGGTTGATGGAACAAGTGACAATAGCTCACTTGAGCAGCAATCATGATAAGATTTCTTTTATAGTAAAGTATCAATCTGAGAAGATAAAGTATCAATCTGAGAAGATATAAAGTATCAATCTGAGAAGATATAAAGTATCAATCTGAGAAGATATAAAGTATCAATCTGAGAAGATATAAAGTATCAATCTGAGAAGATATAAAGTATCAATCTGAGAAGATATAAAGTATCAATCTGAGAAGATATAAAGTATCAATCTGAGAAGATATAAAGTATCAATCTGAGAAGATATAAAGTATCAATCTGAGAAGATATAAAGTATCAATCTGAGAAGATATAAAGTATCAATCTGAGAAGATATAAAGTATCAATCTGAGAAGATATAAAGTATCAATCTGAGAAGATATAAAGTAAAGAACTCAGTAAGATTATTTCTATTCATTAATACCAACAAAATTGCAATAATAACAAATTAGTTTTGTTTGAGTTAAAATTCATGAGCCACTGCAAGCTCCTGTCACATATATGAGATAACTTTTTTCAAGACTGGAGTATATACAGTATTATGAAAGTTAATTGTATTGAACATATTTTTCTTTTTATTTGATGTTTTATTTCATGTTTTATATAATTTAACTATGATTAGAAGGATAATAAAAGTAAATAAACAAAGACAAACCAAGATAACAATCTAAAAGATTAACTTTTTAAGATTAAAAAATTCTTAAAAATCTAGAAATAGCCATATTGCGTTCAGTAAACCACTCTACAGATAACCTATTTTAGAAACATTAGATTAAAACTGTCTGCTTATCACCATTAAGACAAGGAAAATAAAGCTGAAAATAAAAGTCCTCAAGTGACCAAATGAAGAATAATTTAGTACACATAAGAAGTGGCCTAGGCCCCCAAATGAATGTTCAACTTAACAAAGTAAAACAATTGCTCTTACTTTCAAGCTATAAAAACTATAAAAAATAATTTAAGATAAATAAAGTTCAAGTTAGCTGGTGTTTGACTTACCAGGAATTAACTGTATTTATATAACCATAATTTACTTGAATATTGAAGCTATTAAATTCTAAAAACTTGATAACTGTTAACTTATTTAATAACTGATTGACTGTAGATTTTATTTTTGAATGAGTCACATTTTGAAGTGCAAGGCCGATGGTCATAGTTTGTTCAACACTTTGCTAAACACATTGAACTGCATGTTAAACATCCCAAATAGCTGTTTTTATTGGTTGTTTCTGCTGTTAGACAAGGAACACTCTACTCAGTTACTGACATAATGAACTTACTTACACTTACATTGAGGTTCTACAAACACACTTAATTTCAAAGGTGCTGATCTAAATGGAAACAAGATACTATAGCAGAATTTAGCCACATGCCATAATCTAAAAAAGTCAAGAAACCCATGTTAGAAAACAATATTAAACACTTGAATGATATGATAACTCCCCAGATCTCAAGCTAATAGAGAATCTTTTGGCAATTGTAAAGAAAAGACTGTGAATATGATTACATGCAAATATCTATCTATCTATATATATATATATATATATATATATATATATATATATATATATATATATATATATATATATATATATATATATATATATATATATATATATATATATATATATATATATATATATATATATATATATATATATATATATATATATATATATATATATATATATATATATATATATATATATATATATATATATATAAACACACACACAAACAGACGATGGAACCTTGTGGTACCCCAGAGGTTACTGGAAATGAAAGACAGTATTGTCCATCATAGATGACTTTAATACTGTAATTAAAAAGAAATTTCAATTTATTTTTAACTTATTTCCAAAAGATTTTTCCCTATCCATTTTTTATTGGCACTAAGTTTTACTAAATTGTAAATAAATAATAGCACTAATAGTGCTAGTACTTACTTACAAGTTATAAACTAGTATTATAGTACTTATATAGAAAATTTGTATATTGTATAAAAAAAAGTATTTACATATTTATTTACATATTTGCGTTACACTGCATTTTTTATTTGTCAAACTTTTTAACTAATTTGATTTTCTGCACACATTTGTGCAGAATATCAAGTTAGTTTAAAGTTTTGTTCAGATTTTGTATTATTGAAATCACAATACTGTATCTACAAGTCCATAAATAATTGCAACATGAACACTAAGAAATGACACTGCTTTGAACTCGCGGAAGTTGTTAAAAAAATTAATTTGTACCGAAAACGAGAGTATATATTATAGTTTTTTCATGCAAGCATAAATATCGTTTTCTTGCGCCTTGTTCAAAAGCTAGTAGTAAAGTAATACCAAAAACACTTTTCTCGTTCAAAACTGAATATAAAAAAAGTTTTCTTAGTTCAAGTGATAGTTATAGATCTTAGTGTTAATACTTTTATGACATCCCAGAAAATTAATATTGGCAGTAAAACCTTTATTTTATTACTCGTATAAAAAATAAAAAAACTCAATCAATTACTAAAACGTGTGAATAAATAACTAATAGTTATATAAAAATAAATTGGAAACTTATATCAGCGCTATCTCCCGACCCGGGTTTTGCATCCATTTAAAAAAATATGACATCCATCAGCGTTGCCAGATGTTTTTTGCGCTAAAATGCCAAATACTTGTCTAAAAAATGCCAAATAATGCCAAACTTTATCAATAATGCCAAAAAAAAATGCCAACCTTTAACACAGTAGAAAAATGTTATAAAAATACATTAAACCTCTTTTATTAACTATGTATTCAATAAGATTAATTTTTAAGTCATATATTTATCAGTTTTAACATATTTTTTATATATTTTTCGATAAAAAAAAAACGACGTTTAACAATGTGTCTAATGTTTAAAAAGATGAGTTAAAGAAAATTTCAGATCAAATTCTGTTAAAAGAATAATAAAAAATGTCTCAATATCAAACTTCCTTCAGTTTAAATCATCAATTAAAGTGTCATCTTGGGCTAATTCATCATTGTCAAAATACATGTCGTCTCCCAATTTTGCTAACATTTTATCAGTGATTTTAAAGTCTTTACAACGTTTGTTGCAGCTAGCAAGGTAGGCTTTTACTCGCACTAAACTGCTGAGCAATTTGTCTGATATTCTGTTTCTTGGTTTGTTTTTAACATAGGTGACCTGATAAAAAAACACATTCCACAAAAGCGTTTGATATAGGAAGAACAAGACAGGTTAGGCAATAGTCTGCTAGCTCATTAAGTGCTGCATCTCCTAATGCATTTTTTTAGTGGCGAACTGCAGTCTAGAACTCAGTTGTATCTTTAGGTATACAAGTATTTTCAAACAGCCCCGAAGAAGACCAGTCAACCAAACTTACTTTTCTGTACTGATCTTCAATGCTTTGTGCTTTATCCTTCATAATAGGTCTTAAAGGCAAATGAGTGAATGGCAGATGAGTGAATGGCTTTTTAGAACTTTGATCCAGAATCTTTGATGGTGAAAGAAAAGATAGACCTTGAAAAATTTTTTTGTTTTCAGGTAGACGTTGATCAATACCTTTCAAAAGACGCAAAAGAAATTGAAAACAACGTGTTAGAATACTTTCAATGTTTTTTCTATTTTTTTTTAAGTTTGAGGATAAGTATCAATATATTTTTGGAAATCTGATAAAAACTTTCCCACAAAGTCAACACTTTTTAGAGCCAGTTGAACTCCTTGGTTGTCAAGAACACGCTGTCGTAGACTTTTGCAGTGTAGGTTTAGACTTTTGTAGTGTAGGTTTAGACTTTTGTAGTGTAGGTTTGGACTTTTGTAGTGTAGGTTTAGACTTTTGTAGTGTAGGTTTAGACTTTTGTAGTGTAGGTTTAGACTTTTGTAGTGTAGGTTTGGACTTTTGTAGTGTAGGTTTAGACTTTTGTAGTGTAGGTTTAGACTTTTGTAGTGTAGGTTTGGACTTTTGTAGTGTAGGTTTAGACTTTTGTAGTGTAGGTTTAGACTTTTGTAGTGTAGGTTTAGACTTTTGTAGTGTAGGTTTAGCTCTGAAGCTAGCTTCTCAGGATCCTCATTAGTACTTTGAAAAAGAGCAAACACTCAAACTCTTAAACAATTGGAGTCAAAAAGACCACATGAAGAGAGAGAGTTTCATCTTTGAACATGTTGTTAATTGCTGTAACGCTGTGCCTGATGCGGGCAGGAGCTAGGGCTTCAGTACATAAGAAATAGGCTTTCGATTCGTACCGATTAATCATCAAATTGTAAAGACATTTCTCTCTGACGAGCCATCGAGTAGCTGAATACTTTTGAAACGGTGATGGAGCCCATCCTTTCATTGCTTAGATCCATTGTCTGAAAAAGTATTTTAAATTCTTAACTTGGTGGGATTAATTCAAAGGAATGTTGAACAATAAGATTTAAAGAGTGACATGTACAGCGCTTTAAAATACAATCAGGAGAGACTGTGCGAACACGAGACCAAACTAAATTGTGAATTCCAATGACATTTGAGGCTCCATCTGAGCTATATCCAATGCATTTTTTTAAAGACAATCCTACAGACTTTAGCTTTGTTTCCAAAACAGCAAAAAGATCTGCACCAGTGGTTGATATCACAGCAGCTAAACCAAGAAAGTCATCGATAACTGATTTCTGTTGATCTGAATTGTATCGAGCACAAATGCAAAGATGTTTTGTCGAGTTAATTGATCAATCAGGATGGAAAAAAGGTTTATCGGCCATTGATTCAGAAATTTCTGATTCAATTGATGAAAAAATTACATTTTTAATAATTTGGGTGCATTTAGTTTGATGCAGACGAAGGCTTTCAAGTGGACTATTTTTTCCATAAAGAGAAATAATTTTTTCAAGGTGATCCATTGTTGAAATGGATCCATTGATGAAATGGATGCATGACAACAGATCCATTGTTGAAATGGATGCATGACAAATAGCAAGATGAATATCTGCTTCACAGTCTGCTTTCTTTGATATTAAAGGAATCTGGTTTTTTGTGTTGAGATGCTTTTCTCTTGGAGCATGTCTAAAAGTACTACTGTGCTGTTCTACAGACGATTTCCATGATTGTATAGTCACACGACAAAGGGTACAGAATGCTGATTCAGTAACATCAGAGCTTTTTTTAAGCCAAGGATAACCCGTTTCCCATTTTGCAATATACTTTCTTGAATTTACCAATTTACCATGCCTCGACATTATGCTTAATGTTCTAATACAAACAGCCGTGGCGCAGTGGTCGCGCACTTGCCTTAGAAACGTAAGATCCGTGGTTCGAACCCCACCTCTGGGCAAGTTTTGCGACATCGGTTGGGAAGGAGGCCTGATCTTCCCATTAAATACTCTTCCGCGATGCTCTGTGATAAAACCGTAAAGACTTCTTGGGGCACCT